AGTCTTTTGCCTTTTCACTTGTTCTTAATGATCACTAGATTAACTCTGGTGGTGGTTAATTAATGAAGGTAAAGGAAGGTCAGCAGCTATTTATGAAAACATCCCCACAAATTTGTACAAACAGAGAGCACGTTCTTCAAATGTATAATATATTGGATATCATCTTGGCACAGTAGCACCATAGTAACATGATCATGCTCTTCTATAATGGACACTTTCCATAAACCCACTTGTTGAGTGTCTCATGGTGTTTTTGCAGCTTGGTAGAACAAAGAATAGCTCATTGGATCAACGTGTAGATGCCACCAAAAACCCAACCTACATGCCCCTAAACAGGCTAGTGGATGTTCAGTGGATGTTTGAACTAATTATAGGCATCTCAATTTTCATTCTACCATATGATTTGAGGTAATTACTTCAAAAATATCTAGATTTGTGGTTTAGATTTATAGTCACGAGCTTGAATTCCAAAGCAAAGCTTTCATGTCATGCCATTAATGAAAGTGAAATCATGTATGAGAATTCCATGTAGAAACTAATCAGTGAACTTTGCAGGCAATGTACCTCAATAAGCTCGGCGACCCCATAATCCTGAACGATAGCCGCAAGCTGGGGACTATCAACACTATAAGGCAAATTCCCAAAATACAGCTTAGTACTCCCGGACTCCACTGGAGAACCACCATCCACCGCCTCCCCTCCTTCCTTCTCCGCACCCTCTTCAACCCCCACCGTCAAAGCCGCCTCTCCTTGCACAGAGGTGGCCGAGATGATCGTAGCCGGGCGACACCTCTCTGAGAAAGCTCTAAGCGGAGCCGATTTAACGGCCAGAGGGCGGGACAGTAAGGGCAACACCTGGGTAGATGGGGTTGCAAGGGGAGAATCGGAGAGCCAGGGATTGGACCGTGAACCCCTTATGGGAGTGGTGAAGAAGGAGACTCCGGTAGCGGCGGCGGGCATTGTAGTGGAATTGGATAGGGAGGAGATGGGTAGCAGCGGAGGAGAGTAGAAAAATGATACTTTTTCACCGACTCAAGTAAATTGATGTGGAGAGTGCCACGGAGTAGTCCATGCTGACGTGGCAGCTTGGTGGCCAATGGTGAGAGATAATGTTTAATCAATTTTTATTACCATTCTTTTATTGTAAATAAAATAATGTTTAGCTTAATAAATATTAAATTTTGTAATTTATATTTATTTTACAGTATTTTTTTAAAACAAGAGAAAATAGGAAAATTGGACAAACATACATATTTATATACCATTTACATACGCATTATTTTATTTGTTTGAATACTCTTAGTTATTAAAAAAAGACTTTCAATTGGCTAAATTATAAGAAAATATCCCGAGAGTTAAAATAATAAAATTTATGTTCCACGATCAACTTAGGGACACTTCCTCTTAATAACTTAGACTCTACCCGATGAATCAAATAGAATTAAATCTTCCTGAAACAATGCTTCTTAGCACTATATAGAGGAGGATTCAAACTTCATGATTCAATTTGTAAGAAGAGAGACATGTGCTGTAATCAGCAAACTATACTCTCGCATTAGCTCGATAAGCCTGTGAAGATATAGTTTAGTTCACCCTTGCTAACTTTCCCACACGTACGTCGTGCTAAAGCTTTATCAAGTCTTTCAAATCGTCACGGGTGAGGAAAAGGAGAAGAATTGAATATGATATATTTTTTAATGGGTAGTGCATTGCTGTCATGCAATAATAGGTTGGAGCGTTGATGAAGGAATGATGGGAAGTCTAAGTTGGAGAAAAGGCCTAAAGAAAGGGATACCCATTGTATTGCCAATCTGTCATCCCCCAAACGCCACATGATATGTCCTTCCACTTCATTTCTCAACACTTCCCAACTTTAATTTTAATTATTCAAAACCTTCTTTACCTACCCTCGACCATACGAAGTCTTAGCCTATCTCTCGATATAGGAAGGGTCTTTTTCTTGCTTGGTAGCGTCTTTCTCAATTTTATAGCGAACCCATTTACGTAATGAGTCCTCTATAGCCCTGCCTCCCTCGCTGTCAAAACTCTCCTCTCCAATGATGAGTGAAGACGATATCTCGAGAAGTGCCCTGTTATCGGATACGAAGATACAAACTATATAATCTCGAAGTTTTTCACATCTACTCCTTAATATGGTCCAAATATTTCAATTCTATTTACGCTATTAAAAAATAACTATGCTTCATCGATTTTTGGAATGATACTTCGTATCTTACTCCTCGAGCTATGCTCCGAGTAACACATCGAGAAATGGAAATGATTTGATTATTCAATTTATTAGCGTCGTTGTCAAATCCAACTAAAAAAGTGTTCGAATCCATACGTCGGGGGAGACCGATATGGCGCAACTTTGCAAAAAGCATAAAAAAGTAGTGAGAAAACAGACAAGTTATGAATGGATTACCAACATTCTTGTTCTTCACTTGTGTAAAAATTATTTCAATTTGATACATCATTCATTCATTCATTCATTCATTCCCTTCTCAATATAAATAAAAACCCTATTGACCATCAAAAAAATGACATCTCCTTTTCAGAAAAAGACATTCTGTTCATAAGAAAAAAGAATAGTTTTTGCATCTTTGAAGATCCAATCCTCCTCTGCTTCTTTCAATAATCTGCACACAAAAAGATCATTCCAAATCTCAAAACTCAGACCAATTCAAACAGGAAATTTTAAAAAAACAATCTGAAAAGTGTTTGTTTCTCTACTTACCATCATGTTTCTTCATTAATCCTCTTGCAAAAAGCAAGCAAATGATCACAAATGCCACTCCTGCTGTTGATCCAAGAATGATAGCCACTGTTCTACCTATATTTCCTGTTGTTTCACTTTCAAATATTAGATAAACTCAGAATCTCAGCTTGATTTGTGTGTTCTTACTGTAAAAAATGGAATCTACAAGGCTTTGGTGCTTTACCTGATGAGGAGGAAGAAGAAGATGAAGATAATGGTGATGATCTTGTGGGTACACCATTTGGGTAGTAACTGTAACTTATAAAGCATCTATGGAGATAAAGCTGGCCTGAAATTGAGCTCCCACATTCAACTTGAGCTCTTTGGACAGCGTTTTTAACACATACACCACAATCTGAATCCCCCAAATCGCCTTCACATTGACCCAAAACATAAACAGATTGGTAATTTGTAGTGTAGAATCCATGGCCACTCACCACACCATTCTCCAAAACAGAGAGGGCGGTGTCCCGCCGCTCTTCAAACCCACTTCCAGCAACATTGGTAGACCCACAAGTTTTGAACAGCATTTCGAGCCCTGAAATTTGGGAAAACCCAGAAACCTCATAAAGCAAATAACAGCCATAGAGTTGAACTCTGGCGGCTATGGTTTTGCCACAGAGAGACTCAACGATTTGTGGGATTTTGCTCACACAATTGTAGCAGTCGCCATTGGTGAGGTCGCCTCTGCATTGGAAGAGGCCATTGATGGTGGCTTGGCCACTTCCAGAGCTGGTTTTGTAGAATCTGGCTTTGGTGGATTGTGAAACCAAGGAGCCAAAAAGGGCTGCAAGCGCTTGGGTGTAAACCCCATTTGGATCTGAGAGAGCTTGCTTAGCACAACCCTTGTAGACCAAAGAGGTGTAATCAGCGCCAGATTGTGCAGGTGGGATTAGTGTAAAAATGAAGAACACCATAGAGAGAAGAAGAACAAGAACAGAAAAAGGACTGAAAGAAGAAAACCCCATTTTCATCGCCATTGAAGAATCAAATCATGGAACTGTAAAAACCCTTTGGAATTTGAGGAAAATGGAGGAAATGGCCAAATGGGTGTTGTTCTAAACAGAGAATCGGGGCTGGGAAATGGTCTGCAAGCTTGGATTATACCTCAAAAATGGCGGAAGGGCTCTTGTTTTTCCCTCTTCCTGGTTTGGCTGGATTTGCCCCTCTAGATGTGCAGAGAACGCATCTTTTTCTTCACTCCAAAAAAGAGTACAATTCACATTTGGCACTGAAAAATACTGATATTTTATTCAAATAGCGATTTCCTTTTTTCTTTTTACTAAAATTCCACTTCAAATATTGTTGCTATGTATGAACAAATAATAACAAATTATTGAAGCTAACTAACTTTATAACATTGAATGCTTAGAGGAGATGGGCCAGAAAGAGGCTATGAACATAGAAGGAATCTGCTTTGATGAAGTGTGTAACAATCAGTTTTGACTCTCAAAGTTACTTTCTTTTGAGTCTTAAATGTTAGAACTTTTGAAAGAAGCATAATAAATTATGAATGGGTCTCGAAAATAGGTGAATCTCTCAAATTTTGTAACTTTTTTTTTTATGCAAAAGAATTTGAACTTGAAGAGACATCATGCTTTCGTCCCTGAAATTATTAAAAGCTTTATTGAAGGAAGAAAAATTAGTTACGGTGACTAATTAAGAGAATATTCAGTATATTTCTGTTTGCCAGTTCTCAAGGCAGTATGAATCCTCTTTACGAGGGGAACATGGTGGCTTCTTTTAAGCCAACCCACCAAAGAATTCAACATCGACAAGTTGTGAGGTTTGCAGAGAATACACTAGATATCTCCTAGATTGATTCGCTTGATGGTTTTCTCGGTTTCGAATAGTCTCTTGGAACGTTTGTTCCTTGTAACCAAAATCCTACCTCGCTAGCATTTCTGGACTTCCATGGTCGAATCTACACAAGCCTGAAAAAGAAAGGTCGGTCACCCTAGGTGTCTTTCAACTCCTAAGGAAAGAAGTCATCTATGTGTTAGAAACTGTACAGGAATCTTAAATATAAGAGATCTCTCAAATAGAGGTTTTATCGGAGTACATTAACGTCGGAGGAGTCTTTGGGTAGGGATAATCGTCTAGGTCTCTTATTGCATTGTCTAAGAAGGGGTGGAATTAGACTGCTTCTAAATTTTAGCTAACTTAGGTTTTTTTTTCCCTTTTTCTTTTTCTGTTTTAGAAAAAAGGAAAAAATCGCTTTTCTGTTCACACTCAGTTTCTTTTTCTTATTTTATTTAATTTAATTTTTTTATATTTACCTTCACATTTCTCACTCCACCGCCGTTCTCTCCAATTTCTCTCCGCCGACAGCTCTGCTTCTTCTCTTCCGATCTCTGTTCCCAAAGTGGATTCGAAAATTGAAGCTAAAGGTAGCAGATCCCTCGACGGAACACTAATCTCTCTCTTTCTCTCTCTCTTCTTTCATCACTCTTACCCATGTTCGCCTTCAAAGAGAAAGTTACGGAGAGCCTTTCCCGTCTTTTAGCCGATTCCCCAGATTCCGCTTCTCATTCCTTAACTTCACTTGACGACGATCCTTCTCCCGTAATATTCTCATTTCCTCTGTTTTAATCTACTTCGCTGATGTACTTTTAGCTTCATGAACTTGCCGCCATTGCCGATCTGTTTGTTATCTTAATGTTGATGGGGCTTTTCCAGATTTGGGTGCCAATGTGTTTTGCCCAATTTTGTTTTGATAGTTCTGTTTTGTTCTTGCGTTGATACTGATTGAGATTGACATGTCAAGGGTTGGAATTTTGGGGTTTATGGGAAACTTTTGGCATTCGATTTAACTTAGTTGTATGGCAATGTGGGGTTGGATCCCATTCTCCTTTCTCTGTATTCTAAGTTGGTTTTTACAATGCTGTTTGTTGCGATGTGTAGGTCAGGTCATTCTCTAAAGGAGGAAAGGCTTTGTCTTCCTACTTTTCCTATATCATCCCATTTGCAGGCTTTGAAGGACCCAAATCAGGCCAACCCCAGAACCATTACAGGCCACAACAGCCTCGCCCTGTGCCATATGATCCTGTCAATTTTGATCCTCTAGAACCTTTGGACGACGAGTATAGCACAGCTTGTGGAACTAAGGGAACCTCAATTTTTGAGGTAGAAAATAAGGAATGCAGTCGAGACGATGAGGAAGATTTTGATGACTCTTTCTCCAGAAGGAGTACTAATAGTTCTGAAGTATTAGAAGACGTAGCTCGCCGACCTAGTCTGGAGAAGTCTGTGCAAAATTCTTCGGTTGATTCTGTTCTAATGTCCATTGACACCTATGATTTCCTGGTACAATGTCTTCCTAACATTGTGAAAGGGCGCCAATGGATCTTGCTATATAGGTAACTTATTGGAAATGTTGCTCTATAGGAGATGGTAGGGATGCATTATGACCTTAACTTGAGTTTCTTTCTAATGAAGGGCAGTACATTGAGACATGGCATATCTCTCCGAACGCTCATCCGCAAGAGTAGTGAACTCTCTGGTCCTTGTTTGCTGGTATGTTGATTATATGACTCCTCCATGTCCCAGATTTTGATCTTATCAAAAAGCTAGATCAGTGCAGAACTTCATGTTTGTTCTATAATGGAGTTGTGTTCCCTGTGCTCGCTCTGTAGGTTGTTGGCGATCGACAAGGTGCCGTGTTTGGTGGTCTTCTAGAATCTCCATTGAAGCCTACTGCTAAGAGAAAATATCAAGTTAGTTGAATTCTCGCCCTCTGAGGATGCTAATTTCCACTCCGTGCCTCATTTTCTTTTGTTTTGGTGTTTAAAACATGACTGTATTGTGTTAGGGAACAAATCAAACTTTCGTCTTTACCACCATGTATGGTGAACCACAGCTCTTCAGACCAACTGGTAAGTTGTTTTTTACTTTCTTAGTGGCAATCTCTTTTACTTTCATACTCTTTGGTTGTGTATCCTTCGCCACCAATATGCTTGACTGTCAGTTTGTTAAGCCCCTATAGTTTCTAGTGAATTTGATCATTTTCGGAAGTCGAAGTTTCGTATTAATCACGACTAATTTTGCAAGAACGAAAGAATAGTGATAGCGTAGGCATATCCTTCTAATGAAACCGATGTGAAGGTTGCCTGTGACTTGTATTATATATGCCCAAAGAAGTTGTATATTTGGATGTAATACCAACAAGATTAACTCCCATGTAACTGATCTGGGAAACAAAGCAATCTCTTGCATTGATAGAAAAGAGTGAAGGAATGAAGGAACTCCTTTCCTCTTCAATTTTTTCTTGACTGATTTGGAAATATGAATAGGAGCGAACCGCTATTTCTTCATGTGTATGGATGATTTACTAGCACTTGGTGGTGGCAGTAACTTCGCATTACGTCTCGAAGAAGATCTGTTAGTATTTCTTTCCTAATCTACTATTCCTTTGTCAACTGCAATGTACTACTTCCATCAATGGCCAAATCTTCTGTTTGTTTTTTATAAAAAAAGGTTGAATGGAACCAGTGGACCATGTGAGACGTTTGGTAACTCGTGCTTAGCGCACAGCCAGGAGTTTGAGTTGAAGAATGTTGAGGTAAATTCCAATCCTGGAAAGAATAACCTTGCATTTACGATGTAAACCCGTTTCGTAAGTTGTTTTTTGGTGATAATGTGTCTATGCCTGCATTCATCTTTTGCTTATGTTTGTGTAATTTGGGTTAATGCAGCTATGGGGTTTTGCTCATGCTTCGCAGTATCTTTCATGACAAGGATGGGATGGGATGGGATGTGTTTGCAGTTTGTGTGTAATGTTTGAGTTATTGGCTATAAACAGTATTTTTCCTTCTCCAATATTCTTTTTTTCCATTTTTCAATTTCAAATGTCTGTAGTTTTTTACTTTGTAAGAAGCACATTGGTTCTGGAAAATTAATGTCTTACTCTGTGGCAGTTCCTACATACAATTTCAGTGTAGGATTGTAAGGGATTCATATTTATAACATCGTATGATCATAATCAATTAAGAATGATAAGGTGAATAAGAAAGATGAATCTATTAAAGTTTTTCCACTATCAAAATACAACTAAACGGTGAATGAAAAATGTCATCGTATATTAACAGTTCTACAGCTACATGCAATTCAGACAGGCTACATAATCTTTTTACTCTAATTGCATAGAAATCAGAATCAAACCTGATTAGTCCAAACACAAAAAAATTGGTGAGAATAATTCGCTCATCTTGTTGATCTGTGGATGTATAACTCTCAACTTTTCTGGAGAACCTTTTAAAGATGCCTCTGCTTCAAATTCCGGTTTTTTTATACCATGAATCATACCTGTAATCGTGCAAATATACTGGGAAGCTAGCGTTCATCTTTTTCAGAATTTTCAAATCTGGGTGTAACTTATGCTTCCATCGAGCCATCTTCCCCAGGCACACCGAAAATTCGAAGATTTCGATCCATGGACCCAACTGCCAAGTATTTTGCATCTGGACCAAATTTGAGACAAGTTGCTTTACCTGAAATCGAGTGGAACCGGAATTCTCATCAACAGCAATTTTGGACTACTCACATTAATCCGCATGAATCGTAAATGCTTTCTCTGTGTAGTTAGTAAAGTATCTAACCCATTTTATGAATGTGATATCTTTATAAAATATATACATGTGCGCACATGTGAGAGAAGGATACGGTACCTGTGCCAGACAAATCTGGAATAGTTTTGATACAATTCCATTCAGATTTCACACTAGCAACTTGGTAAACCCTGCGAGTTCAAGCAACCCTCGTTTGTTAGACTTTGTAGAAACTACTAACTGAAAATAAGTGATGAATAAATTGAATACTGATTTCTATTAGACGGAAGGTTAGAAATGATTTCAAGGGCCAAATGCTTACCTTAAATCTGAGCCAGCAATCGCAAGGTAAGATCCACTATGATCAAATTCCACTACAGAACCAGAAACAGATGTTCAGTTATTCCCACGAACAAGACATGACTAAACGTAAAACACTATCTTCCTATTTGTAGAACTGACAGAACATGTACTATAGAAAGTTGTAAAATGTTACATCAACCAGCATCTACAGAAAGAAACGTACCAGAGTTTGTTGGAGTTTCTGAATCATAAGGTGAAAATGTACGAAAGTTCTTCAATTTTCGAAGATCCCACAGCTTTACTCCATCATGAGCTGCAGTCTGTGCAGTTTAGATTTATATTAGTTTCAATCATGTCTAAGTTAAACCTTTAACTGCATCCAATTAACACATACCGCTAGGAAGTAACCATTTTCAGAAAAAGATATTGCAGTTACTGGCCCAACGTGTCCATCAAATCTGGCCACATTTTTCTGTAAGCAAAAGGATTAAAGAAATTAGTGAACAAATTTAGGGATATGGGGATATATCATGCGAGGTTAGAGAATCTCACACCTGACTTTTTACATCCCAAATTTTAACAAGAGCCTCTGATGTGCCTGTTCCAAGGATGAGACCATCAGGATGAAAGGCTGCAGATGTGTAGCCCTCCGTTTCTGAAGCCTCTGTAACCTGCAGAGGATAAGATTGATAAAACTTCTATAAGACAACATAACCAATTCCAGCCGAGCTACCGAACAGGTCACAAAAATCTAAATGGGCGACCTTTTTTAACTACACCAAAATTTTACATCATCACGTAACTGCAAAATATAACTGTATCTCAGAAAGGAACCTTGTAATTATCCTAAAAGAAACTAGCATGTGCTTAACATGGGAAAGTTCATTTCATGTATTTTTTTCAATACTTCCAAGACATTAGGCTCCTTGCATTTTCCAATGAAATGAGACTACTTCCGGACCCTACAACTATTCAAACTTGTTAAGTTGGTGAAAGGCAAACACAAACTTATTCACAATGTGTTGGGCAGCAGCGCAGCACTTCTCAACCTCAGTAGTTCAATCAATTCGATAACAATATTTTTCTTCGAGTAGTCGCTGTTTAGAGAGGGTTAAATGTGGAGCATCAGGTCTGAGGAAAATGTACTTTGATTCTATGACCTACTAACCACTCTTCAATATTGAGGAATTGTCCATGTGATATCAAATCCAAAAACCTTGACCTATCATAACCAATTGACAGTTGTATCATATATTTGGAAATATATCAACCCTTAGTCATCAATCTTTGGAAAACAAAACGTAAAAGGCCGCCTAGCACCTGGAGTGTATACATAACACTGTGGAACATAAAACATGCAGTCAACTAAAAGTATATCACAACGCATTCAAGACCGTCTATCTCAGAGTAAACAAATATACACTAATGAAAAATTAAGCATTACCTGGGTCAGGCATAATCCTGAAGCAAGCTCATAAAAACACCATGTGTTATCAAGGGAGGTAGTGACAAAGAAGTTATTGGTAGCATGGACGGTAACCGCTTGGACCTGTAAGAGTTTGAAAGTTGACACTCCTTTACCGTACGTTAACGCATGAAATTGAGTCACACAAAATCAGAACTGACTTGCTCCTGTTATATAATTCTTTGGTTCTATAGATTGTTATCAGATTCTTAGCAATTGAGACAATACAACTTAGCTGAGTTTTTTAACCTAGCTTTCAGCTATAACCAGAAATGATAATCAATAATGGTCATTGAATTAAATCAGCTTACCTCAGCTGTATGATCCTTTAAAATGTGCCTACAATTGTAGTTCCCATCATCAGATTGTTGCCACACACGAACAGTCTGCACAATTAGGACAAGGCGTTTAATACTATTCTCAAATGCAGTCAGAAAAATAGTTGAGTTTAGATTGGCAAAATATCAAAACAATTCAAATGTTATGGTATGATCATTCCTGTTTTAGTTGAAATAGTTACGTTCATGAAGCCAAGGCAAAGGAAACCTAAAGCCTAAACTCAGAACCAAAAATTTATAGACCAAAGGAGAAGCAGTTCATTTATATGTTTAAATTATTAAACCTAGCACTTAGTACTTCGGTTCTGGGAATTAAAGGACAAGAGCAGTTCATTTCTATGTCAGTAATTAATTTCATTTGGTTAGCCATTGACTACACGCTCAGCCAAAGAAGAAATATGATCTTCAGAAGTTACATGTAAGCCTCAGAAGTTACAAATACAAAGTTTTAAGCATACATTCAAAAATAGGAAATATTTTCATCATAACCATAACAAGAAAAACTAACCTTGTCAGCTGAACCAGTCAAGAACAAATCATCTCGGGCCACAAATTTGACACTTGTTACCTAGACAAACAATGTTCAACATTCCAATTAGCAAAGAATATTAATATTACATGGCTCCAGCACTTGAATGCTACAATTCAGCAAAGAAACCTTCTTTGAATGGCCACTTAGTGTAGATAAAATCTCCCCAGATGATCTGTCAAAAATAACAGCATTTGTGTCCAGCCCTCCAGTTGCAATGACATCCTAAAACCAGGAAAAGAAAATTCCTCGACTGAGAAGTAAATTTGTGCACTATTATTAGCAACAGAAATATTCATTTAGAAAGAAAGTCGACCTGCAATTCACCATCATGTCGACATATAGTCAATATCACATCAAGATAAACAATGCATTGTAGAAGATTTATAAGACGAGGCTGAAGTATTATGCAGAACTCTATAAAACAGCTTATTAGTGTTCATGCTTTAGTTCATAATACAACGTTGGATTAATGACATGAATAATAGAAATAAACTCACCTTATAATTTATTAATGCTTCGGTTTATTTCCAAGGCATTTGGACATGATCCCTAAGCTTAAAAGTACATTACTTATTCCACTTAAAATTAAATAGTTGCATTTTTCATCAAAAAGAAGGGGAAAACATGGATGAATCCTACGAAATATTTGAACTACTATCATTTTATGGCTTAAGGAATGAACCGTGAAACATATGTTTAATGCAAAACCACCTCGTTCATTATTCCGAAAAGAGCCCATTGGTCAAATTGAATAAAATGGTTAATCACAGACGCAAGTATGATTTCAAAGAATTGTTTTAATGAAGGCCACATAATACTCATACGAGCATATTTATTAGAGTAATATAGGCTGATGCACTTTAAAATGATACCTTCTCATGATGGATGTCAAGAGATATAATGCCAGGTTTGCTTGTTTTATGAAGTGGATGGCTAGAAATCTGGGTGTAACTTTCTAGAGCCTCAACAGGAACCAACGTAGGAGGTATCTGAGATAAAAGAATCAATCAACGAATTAATGCACATTTATCAGGAAACCCTGTGCCTGATATCATAAAACATTCACATCATCCATTCAACGATAACCCTTTTATTTAATAGGAAATAATAAGATTTAAATAATTTTTATTATCATTAAAATACCTGCCGCTTCTTCCTTTGTTGTGATAGAGCAGCATTACAATCTGTGAGCTCAGAGATAACAGTGGCAGATATTCCTTGACGTATCTTCTTGCCATCAGGACCCAATTCTTCATCCTCATTAACTGGAAAAATAAAAAAAGAACTCAAATCAGAGCCAGAATATTGATGAAAATCCATGTTGATGGATGATTGAATGGACAAACCTCTTTTCCCATTACCACTGACAGCAGCATTAGATGAAACTGGAGTTGATGACAACGGCATCTGCCTCTCGGCCTGAGCAAGTAACGACCTAGCCTCATCGCGTTCCTTTTTAAGTCTTGCAATCACACGACATGCAGCATCATGCTGGAAGAAAAAATATATATATCAAATCAATAGTTAGACTTATGAAACTCGTCACCTCACCATGACTTCACTACATAGCAAAACACAAATACATTCAATATATGGCTTGCAAAACATTGTTGGATTACAGAAGTCAACCATAAAGTACAAAGATATACAATAGCCCCAAAAATTCAAAACTGAAAAAGTTGAAAATCAATGAGCAAAATCGTGCAACAAAAATATACGATATCGTAATGGATGGACCATGGAGCAAAGATTTAAAAAAAAAAACTGAAAAATTGTGCTTT